ATTAAAATTTATATCGCAGGTATATACTCAAAATTTGACACGCTTTGCCATTTTTATAGTAAATACGTAACATATGTTCTGAGAATATGGAATTATTTTTCATAAATGGAAAGTACATTGTAATTAATAGATAAATAAATATATTAAGATGTTGCTCAAGGGGCGTCTGCCAAGGAATCTCATAGCAGAGCTTAGCCCAAATGTAAAAGAAAGTTGCATGGGTATCTTCTCTTCAAAACTACTCAACGTATTGCTGCTAAATGCCTTAGTATAATGTTTTATTTATTTTTTAATCTGATCTCGTGTGGAATAATAATTTTCTCCTATTGTTTAGGACGAGGTTGAGGTTAAATGCCTGGCTGACATCCTACATAAGCTTGTTGTCACAATTGGGCACATGTTTAACATTGTAGGAAGCAATGTGATTCACAATGTGCCCTTCCCCGCTGACCATGTACAGGTCTAACTGTTGACTGTAGATGAGTCTAACTACCCCTACCTATCCTTACAGCAGATGTTGAAATGGTTAAAGAAGTACTTGGTAGCTTTGTTGCTTGACTTGATCATTTAGCACGGGTTCCACAGTCAAAATCAAGGCCAAAGATATATTAATTAAACATTTCTCAACATTGTACTTTATCTTATATTTAGATTGGTTGCTAACATTATGTGATCGAGGCTTATTAAGAAGCTTCCACTTAAAAAGCCTTCTAAGGATAATAAGGGAAAGGGCAAGAAAGGGAAGCCCTTTGAGGGGATCAAGGATTCAATCATGCAACCTATACCTCCCTTTTCCTAGAAAAGTACCTTTGTATCTGCTCGAAAGCCCTTATACCTCCCCTGAAGACTACCCTAACTTGGATCTGAAGCTAGTAAGTCAAAGGTTACCTGGGGGCTCTGTCTAAATTTCAAGCATCCCCTTTGATAAGAATCGAAAGATGTTGAGAATTATGTAGATAGCAATGAGGGCATGATGATTACTTTTGAGCCAAGGGTTGACATTATCAATACCTATGACAACATTGATAAAGAAATTGTGACAGATATTATCACCAGTGGAGAGGCGACTACTCACAAGTCTTTGCAATCATTTTACGATGTACATTTATTGATCAACTATATATCTTGAATAATTTACTCATGTTTAACACATTTTATTGATTGTTATGTTACTTTAACATGTAAGGTACCTACACACATCCTTCATAAACCTAAAGGCCTTCCAGATAGGGTGCATTTGATAAGTCCCCATATTATCCCCCTTTATGGAAGGAGGTAATGCTGCGGGAAACCAAATCACATGATATTACTGATTATTTAAGCTACTGTTTTAGGAGCATCAAATTTTCTTAGCATCATTTTGTGACAAGTGAATCATTTTTAATATTCATATTTGAATTATTTTTAATCAAGTTGTTTTTCCATAATACAAGCTAATATGTGATTATTGTGATAGGGGTCATTAGATGCTACTTATGGCTAATCCATATAGAGGCTTGATTTGGTATCTTGATCTTCTTGGAGGGGACTCGGATGACTTGAAACATATCATGATCATATTCAATAAGTAAGTTAATTAATTTTTTTATGTGTGCAAATTATTATTTCTATTTGGTCTTTGATTTAAAATTTCATATTGGATTATAGGGCTGTCCACAAGTTCCATAGCGAAAAAGAGTCACCTCCCATCCGTGATAATACTAAAAATTACGAGGACATTTGAATGGATGATAATTAAGGCATACATTTACACTAAATTTACTTATTTCATCAAATTTAACTAATTTACTAATTTTTTGTTTGATCAAAAGAGTCCACAATAATGTTACAAGACTATGGATTGTGACTACAGCATCATGAGGTACATGAAAGACATAGTCAATCATGCATCCAATGACAGGATTTTGCCTAACCAAATATGTCTTCTATATCTACTATATTAATTTTAATAATTTACATTATAATACACACATCATATATTTAAGTTTGGTTTTTGTTGTTATGTTTGGCTTAACTGTACTTTGAGGATGCATTTATAAAGGAGTATACTATAGCTGACATTGAAAAAGTCCTCAAAAGTTGTCACATAATTTATTCAAGCTATGGATAAGATATTCACGACCAAGAACTTGAATGATGACAACCATTAGCTTGCTCAATTTTGATTCATTATATTGGTTATTTAGGCTCTTTACGCTTGGGCTAATTTTGGTTTTTGGTTAACCTTGGTCAATTTTAGTTTTACTTGGCAAATTTTTTTCATATAATTACTTAAGTGTATAGGCATTTTTTTAACAATTTTGAAGTAATTTTATATAGATTATAGAAGTTATTACATGTTTGAATAATTTTGATTTTAACTGCATACAAATTTTGGTTAAAATTGAAACTCCATTGTTGGATTGCAATTTTCAATTTTGGAAATATTTGTATTTTGTTTTGCAAGTAGGTTGTTTGAAATGCAACACCTCTATTTTTTTAAAAAAAAATACTGAACAATATAACAATTATTTTAAAATATCTGTTATATAGTTCAAAATATATATATATATATATATAATGGTTAAAACAAATAACCTCTATATAGATAGAATTATATAGCAGTTATTACAAAAAATCACTATATAATTCGTTGAGCAACTTATAAATAATGATCAAAATTAGACCTAACCATATAGCAGTTTTTATGTGATAACTGTTGAATATATAACAACTATTTAATGGTTATTTTAAGAAATCATTAAATAATTAATTGAAATGTTCGTTGGGCTTGAAACAGAAATAAATTATATAATGATTTTTTAAATAACAATTATATAAAGTCAAACTATATAGTGATTAAATAATTGCAATATAATTTCTTTGAGACTATATAACGCCTTAACATATAGCAGTTTTGAATCGTTATACAATGGTGAGGGTATTTTTATTAGTGTATGGAGCTATAATGAAGAGATTGACGGACTGGATGGAGCAACTAGCTAGGGGCTACTTAAGGAGTAGGACGGTGGAATTGATAGCGTTGCTTAGCTAGAACAGGTTTAATTTAATACCTTTCGACCCTATATCCAGATAGCACAAATATTTGCATGGAAAAATTACATATAAATTTTATAAAACAAACTTATTTATAAGTAAATTTTACAAAATTTAAAAACTATAATTATATTTTTTGAGACTTGAGTGTAATTAAAAATTGAGATAAAAAGATAATAATACCTTATTAAATATATATATATATATTACATCAGTCAAATAATTTATAATTATTTTATCAATATTTTACAATTATAATTTTAACATTTTATAACTGTAATTTCATATATTCAATAATTAAATTTATCATTTTAACTATTATATGTAAAGTTATAATTATAAAAAGTTGAAGTTATAGTTGTAAAATATTGATAAAATAGTTATAAATAATTAATATTAAATTTTGTTAATAACACATGATTGTTTAAGTATTAAATATGTGAAGTAAATTGCTAATGAAATAATTGTAAATTAATTATTTGATTGATGCAATATATGTTTAATAGAGATATTATTGTCTTTACAACCTACTTTTAAATTACACTCAAGTTTCAAGAGACCTGACTGTAGTTTTTAAATTTTGCTGGAGTTATTGATAAACAAGTTTACCCCACAGAATCTATACATAATTTTTTCTACTTTCATTATATATATTTGATGCAGTAATATTAAATAATTGCATTTTTTACTATTTAAAATTAATTATTTTCATTTTTTATTTACAAACTAAAATTAAGTAACTGCATGGACGGCATGTTAGAATGATGGAAAAATTGAAGAGACTTGGGTTTCAAATGTTATATACATTGCATGTATACCGTCAACGTTGCAGTTGTTATGTGATAGGCATGTCCATTATTGGGCGGCGACTTGTAAGTCTTGCATTTAATTTACTTTCACACTCTTCAAGAGCCGCGGTTAAGCATGCTTCTGCGTAGGGAAGTCAATTTTTGTTCTTATTTTTTGATTAAGTATGCTTATGATAGAGTAGATGAAATTTATATTTTTGATCAATCGCCATCTTGTTGTACAGAAGTGGTGGATGATGAAAAGAAAACGTTTAATTATGTTAGTTTTTATTTTTGCTGCTCTTGTAGCTTATTTTCTCTTTGTAATTAAAAAAAAAAAACACAGCTAATTTCAAGATGCGTACGACAAAGTTGGGTTTGGTCCAGAACGGGAGGTCTTATAAATCAGACAAGACCAATAACAATTCACAGAATCATAATATAAACCATTTTGAAAAAAATTATTGGATTCAAAATTAGAACACTAAATAAATGTTATACATATTTTTTTCATTTACATTCTTATTTTATTGAATATTTAAAGTGAATGTTTTAAATAAGTTTAATGCTATATTTATTACACTGAAGGGCATGATTGGAAAAATAAAAATTTTTAAAAAATCAAGATTTTAATCAATTTTCTAAATTAGTTAATAATAATTTATATTATAGTTCAAAGAGAATATATATTTTCTCCGCAAAACATAATCACTATATGTTTTCTCCGTAAAATTTAAATGGTGTATCTTTCTATTCCATAGAGACTGAGAATTAATGAGTTCACATGTTTAATCAATGCAGCGAATAGCCAAATATTAGAATTTTATATTACACACACACATATGCCAACCTATTTATGCCTCAACCACACGAAGAGAATATCATTAACTAGAAATACATTAGCCAAAAAAAAAAACTTTACTTTTTGTACCTGAAGTATAGAAAAATTTACTTGCGTGTACTCCATGGTGATTATTGTCAAATTAGGACGAAATTAGATCTTGAAGAGCGTGGAGTCTGTAAAATATTTTTGAAATTAGAAAAAAGAAAGAAGCAAGCAAAGTCAGAGAAAAATATGAAATCGATTTCTTGCTTGCCTATTGTTTTGCCGTTTACGTGTTTTATTTTGTTATTTCATGTTAGAGGGCCATCACAAAATAATTGAAAGTATCCGATTGCCATAATTGCGCTGCCTGTGCCTGGAGGTCAGGTTTTTGTGCATATATGAAATGAAATGGGCACTAGACTTCGCCCACACCTTAGTGTCTGTTAGCTTCATCGGGAACATCACTTTGGTATCTCTCTCTCCTTCTCATCGTCACTTTTCCTCCAATGGAGTTGGGAAGCATACTCCACTTTCTTCACGATAAGACCATTTTAATCGCTGGTGCCACTGGCTTTCTCGCTAAAAGTATTCCCCCCCCCCCTCTCCCCCCTTTTCCTATTCCTTCGAATGCTGCTTTGTGTTTATCAGTGTTTGTACTGCCATAGATATTATTACATAAGTGGTGATATATCTTTGTTTATATGATAATTTTCAGTTCTTTTGGAGAAGATATTGAGGGTTCAACCAAATGTGAAGAAACTTTTTCTTCTTTTAAGAGCAGAAGACACCAAATCTGCCACCCATCGCCTGCACAATGAGGTCACTGTTTCATCCTTTTCATCTCTTTAATTCATCTATTAATTAGCCTAAATCCTACAATATCAAACGAGTAATTCAGCACGACCACGTCCTCAACTTGATATCATTTTCAACCTTCTTCTGTATGTCAATTCTTATATATGTGGGCACAGACATTCTATTTTCAGTATATTATAGTTAAGCTCGCGGGGCTAACTCATTTCTTGCTATATACGTGCTTAACTTCAGATCATAGGCAAGGACTTGTTTAAATTGCTCAAGGAGAAATTGGGTGCAAACTTTAATTCCTTAGTTTCCGAAAAGTTGGTTCTGGTACCTGGGGACATAACTTGCGAGGACCTGGGCTTGAAGGATTCTATCCTCAGAGAAGAGATTTGCAGTCAAACAGATGTCATCGTTAACTTGGCTGCAACTACTAATTTCGATGAGAGGTATATATATGATTAACACGGGCCGATCTTTTATTTTATTTATTTATTTTTACCATCTTCATATATTTTTATAGTTAACCATGAAAAACTTTTCTTGTTTTTTTTTTTTGGGTATGCAGATATGATATTGCTTTAAGATTAAACACCTTCGGAGCTAAGCATGTCGTGAGTTTCGCCAAAAACTGTGTTAAACTCAAGGTGCTTGTCCACGTATCGACTGGTTAGTGTAAATACCTTAACCAACCTTTTTTATTTCTTAAATAATGCTCCTTCCATATCAAATTATAAGACATTTTTAAATAAAATTTTATATACTAATAAATCTCATTAAATACACTTAACAACCTTATCTTTTCAAAACAAAAATATAAAATTTTAAAAATATTCATCATTTAATATATTGAAAAGAGAAGTGATGAAAATTAATTATAGATAGAGAAAGGATAATATTAAAATTAATACATTTAATAAAATTTTAATTTATTTAAAATATCTTATATTTTAAAATAATTTTTTTAAAAAAAATATTTTATAATTTAGGATAGAAGGAGCAGTATTTGCTTTTCCAGGTATTTCTTTATGCTTTATGAGGGCTTGAACGTTGGTTTTTACCCAACTCACCTAACTATGTCAGCTATTATTTGAACCGATCGACACGGTTAGATAAAAGGTGGTTGCGCAGCGCCTTTTTTCGCATTATTTGATACAAATACCAGTTGGCATTTATTATCAAAATTCACAACAAAAATATACTAATATGTATATTTAATGGAAGGAAAATTGTGCACTTATTAAATATTTAGATAAATTTAAATAAAGTTAATAACATTTAAATATTTTTAATACTGCTAAAATATATTAAAAATAACTTATAAATAAAATTAGAGAAATAATATATATGTTAGAGTGTTAGGGATGGGAAGCAACTATCCGAAAATATAAGAGAGTATAAATGGAATGAAAAGATACAATATGTTAACTTAAAATTTCAAAATTTAAATTTATGAATTATTTTTTATTATATTCTAATTATTAAGCATATTCTCATTTGATGTACCCACATCAACTCAAATACACCAACACTTCCATAATCTAACAATATACTCACTCTATTAAAAAAATGTAAAACATTTTTAATATAATTTCACATTTCAATAAAGTATTTAATTGTCTTCAAATTAATATTATCTTTTTATATTTACCCTTATTTAATAGGGTGTTTTACTCTAAAATAAATATAAAATAATTTATTTATTAGAGGTACTTTTGAAAAAATAACATAATGATTATATCTTAAAATACTAAAAATATTTTACATTTTTTAATATTTAACCTCTTAAAAAATATTTTAAATTTCTAAACAGAGGGAGTATGTGTTTTTTTTTTAAAGGAAAAAAGGTCCAACAACCGTGTTGCTAAAAGGCATCAAAGTTTATTATTGAAAAACCGGATGACAAACACGAAAAACTGTAGCAAATTAAATTAGTGTGGTCTACATCGTTAATGGATGTTATTTGTCTGCTAAGATTACTTGCTTTTCAGTTTTTGGTACCACTCGTCATAAAGAAGGGCATTAATTATGCGATGGGCTCACATTTATTAGCATGATAATTGCTTTGTCTTTCAGCTTACGTATCCGGAGAGAGAGGAGGGCTGATATTAGAGACCCCATATCACTTGGGTGATTCACTTAATGGAGTAACTGGACTAGATATCGATGCAGAGAACAGGCTGGTACAAGGCAAATTGAATGAGCTCCGACAAGAAGGAGCCACCACTGATGAAGTAAAAATGGCCATGAAGGACTTAGCTATTGCCAGGTTCGCAACGTTTATATGCTTTTCATCTTTCTCAGCTACCACTCTTGCTTTCGGTTTAGTTACATTGTATTATTCATAACCTAGACAAGCTGGATATTTTCAATGTTGCAAGAAAATCCTTTCTGAGGATACACGGCAAGTTGGTACAAATAAGTTACTCCCATCCTAAATCTTGATTTAAACGATGGGTTAAGTTTTATCGGTTTGTATAATACATGTTTCCAAAACTTTAGTTGGCATGCTAGATAGAGGTGTATATATACTGTTGTGCAGTCGAGATTTTCCTAGAAGGCAGGATCGTGACTCCATGTCTTGTTCGTTACCGTGTTGCTTGTCCTACCATGTGGCCGGCCGTTTGTCGAAAAATAACAAGGGCTGTGCCGCACAAAATTCCTACAGTCGTCGATATGGGCCTTATTTGTATAAAAATATTTTTTAATCGTGATTAAACTCGAGGATCAATTTTTGAAGGCTTAGTGCAATCTATAATTGTTTGACCCTATAATATAGCAGAAGAAACCATGTTATGCAAATTCAGAACTATACAGTATAGTATTTCACTATTCCACTTGCCTTATAATGGAAAGTTGGAAACTTTTGGATTTCCCCGCTGGCGAAGATGGGAAAGGGAAAGGGCATTTAGGATTTATATATTGTACCTTCAACGACACACGTCACGTGAAATGGCAGCCTCTAACGACGGTTCGTATTGATTATTGTACCTTCATATATATAGTCGCACACCGTTGTTTTAAGCTTAATTAGTCAAAAGACAGCAGGCCGGTGGAAAAACAAGAAGAAGATTCGATGAATTGCCTCCCTTGATTTTGAAAGCAAGTGTATTTTATAGATGGAGACCTTTGAATTTGTTCAAGATGAATACATTAGAAGTTACTTTATCGAGACTTAATATCTTAATTTATCACTCACCAAACAGCGACTCTCTTAATTTTTGATATTGAGTGAAGAGGGGGAAGTAGGTCAGGGCATGAAAGAAGGAAGGAGAGTTCTAATTGAATTGAGAGGGCCATACATATGCCCCTCTGGTGAGTTGGTGCTCCATTAATGGCTCTTCCATTATCACTATTTATTGATGCCAATGCTGGAGGTTCAGCTCCACTGTGACCCACCTTTCTATTCAAACCCCCACAGATCAGACGACAATGACATTTCCCCCACTGCCCTTTACACTAACAGGGCCTTTTCTCATGGGCCCAGCAAACATCAATATCGGGCTCGGCCCGTCCAATCTCAAAAGAAAAAGATCGAACCTGATAGATTAACGTTGTGTATGATGTTATGATCAGGGCAAGGGCGTATGGATGGCCAAACACGTACGTGTTCACCAAGGCAATGGGAGAGATGGTGGTTGAAGATCTGAAAGGCAACATGCCGGTTGTGATTGTGCGTCCCACCATCGTTACCAGCACCCTCAGAGAACCTTTCCCCGGTTGGGCTGAAGGTGTCAGGTACATACGTGTCTCTCATGAAATTCATATAACAGGAACATTAAAAATAGATTTTCTTGAATTTGTTCTGATATCATCAAATATTATTACGGAAACAGGACCATTGACAGTTTAGCTGTGGCTTATGGGAAAGGAAAGTTGACATGCTTCCTTGGAGACCTCGAGGCACCTGTTGATGTGGTGAGTCACGATAGATGATCATGAAATGCATTGACGGTGATTTTAATATTGTTGCATGGATTTAGTGTCAAGGTATTGATGAAATATTGGAAGCATGCAGATACCGGCGGACATGGTGGTGAACGCGATGCTGGTGGCAATGGCGGCTCACGCGAAGGAGCCGAATGATAGGATATATCAGGTCGGTTCGTCGGTGAGGAATCAACTGAGATACCAAAACCTTCAAGACTACGGCTTAAGATACTTCACGGAAAATCCCTGGATCAACAAGAACGGAAAGCCCATCAAGGTCAGCAGAGTCACCGTGTTGAACAACATGGCCAGCTTTCGCAGATACATGTTCATCCGCTACCTCCTCCTCTTGAAGGTATTTTTCCGGCGATCAATGTTCGTCTGAACATTACTACAAATTAACACATTTTAACTTGCATTGAAATGAAATGAAATGAATAGGGACTAGAGCTGGCAAATACGGCGTTTTGCCAGTATTTCCACGACTCGTACATGGAGCTCAACAGGAAAATCCAGATCGTCATGCGCTTGGTTGACATCTACCGCCCTTATTTGTTCTTCTATGGAGCGTAAGTATTTTGTCCCGCAAAAAATTCATATTTTCTTGTAGCGAAGAAGTCTAGAGTGTGTATTGATGTATTAATAACACGTACGGAGACATTGTTGTGAAACAGATTTGATGACATGAACACGGAGAAGTTGCGAATGGCAGCAAGAGAAGGTGGAGTGGAGACGGATTTGTTTTACTTTGACCCCAAAGACATCGATTGGGAGGATTATTTTATGAACATTCATATCCCTGGCATCGTTAAGTACATCTTCAAGTGACACTAGCTACAACATATCATCCACAGATATATTTATATTTACATTTCTTATCATCTTATCTTATATCATATAGATAATAATACATAGCCTTTTTTATTTCTGAAACTTGTACCTGTCTTGAGTTCAAGGTTGTTAAGTTGCGCCGAAGGGAAGTCATTACATGCTGGCGTAAGATCATTTATTCGATGACTGTGTAATTGCTGTCACATGCAAGCTGCCAAGTGTACTTCAAAACTATATAAGCAATCTTACCAAATTTATCTTCTCTGTTTCTTGCTGTTCTTTGTTTCTTTGCTACAAATTAGAATAGCATAATGAATGTTAGGTGGTTTTAAGTGTGAGTGTACTTTAGTTGAAAAGTAGAAAGTTCTACATTGAATAAATTAAACTTAATAATTAATATAAAATAAAAAAATAATTCATAAACTTGAAAGTTAAAATTTTAAATTAAGATGTAACGTAATTTTATTGTTATTATTCACTCACTTGTTTTTTTTCTCTCATTTCTAAAACTAGCTTGGGCTTGGTATTTAGAAGCCTGTTACTATGCGCACAACTTATGTTTGAAGAGGCTTAGGTGAGTTAACACTTTGTTTTCGTTGAAAATTAAACCAAAAGAAAAATGTCATTTAGTACAAAATGGAACATGAATATCATCCTGAAATATATATATATATAAACAGTACTTCGACAATTTTTTTTTTTTGGGTTTGGGGGGTCAAATATATAAATGTGTGTGTGTGTGATAGCACAAGAAACAAAATTGTGTCATTCTGGAACACACACACACACACACACTCACACACAAAGTGTCATCCGGAGATGAAATCCAGAAAGTAGGATACTATCGTACGTAGGTTGCATTGTGGGCTTGGGGCCGGAGAATGATGGAGGCACTTATGTTTGTTTAATTTCTTGTTCTTGAGCACGGAAATTTCCATGGCCCACGGAAAAGGGTTTTTGGGCTGTCCATCTTCAAGCTCAGAACTGCATGATGATGACGACGACCACGACGAGGACGTACCCACCTCCCACATGACTCATAGAGCCGTACAGGACCGATCCGCATGTACACTGCCACACTGGTTGGGTCGTACCGTCGTAGTCTCCATCCCCACGTTAAGTCTAATCCATGCGCTGTCTATCATCATTATTCTTCCTTCTTCTTTTCCAACCAACTGTTCGGCCATACCTAAATACCCGCCAACTGCAATATCGATCTTAATTTTAACCTGTCTTCAACAATGTTGCCATGTGATCCATGCATAGAATCCTTCCATATCTGTCCTCTCCAAACTAACCGCATAATTATTGGATGGACTCTGATGGAAAAGTTGGCAGATTGCCTATCAACCAATTTCCCACCCAACGCTATCCATCACCTTCTTCCTGTTGCTTTTCAAGAATTTTTTGATGATCGGCTTTCAAGAATTTGAGATGGAAAATTACAAATATTCCTTTGTAAATTTGTCACCAAAATTTTGCATTGCCTTTAGTTGCATCAAAATGATTTGTCGCTGAAGCAATTTACGACAGATTTCTTTCCAATTCTCGCACCAACTTTTCATCGCAAATTTTATTTTATTTTTTACCTGTGACTGTGAATAGATAATATCTGATTTGGAATGTAATTTTATCTACATCTAGTATGACTTTAGTTTGCTCCTTTTTTTTCCTTTCAATTTTGGATGGTTAGGACCGAGTTCTATTTTAATAACTTTTCTAGAAAATAGTAAATTTAAATCAACAAAGGAAAAATTTGCTGTCAGTAATATAAAATGTTATGTAGAGTCAGGGTGGAACTAGACTTTAAATTTGAGGGTGGCCAAGTTTTTAAATTTAATAAACATTATTAATTTAATTAATTTAAAACTAATTAATTAAATATAAAAAATAAATTTTTAATATTTAAACTTACATTCACAATTTTATGAAGGGCAAAATATATATACATTCATATATATATATATATATACAAGCATGAATGAAATAAAAAAGTGGGTGTTAATGTTTTTCTTTTTATATGGTTCATGGTTAGTGTTATATATATATATATATTTTAAGGAAGGGTGGAACTTGGGGGGGGGGGGCCAAGGCCCCCTCCATCATCAACGTGGTTTTGCCATCTAATTATAACACTTTTTTCATTTGAAAAATAAGTATAACACCTTTTTTATTTGAAAAATAAGCAATCCCCATTTAATTATACTGGTATTTGTGGAATAAATTTTTGTTGTACTCTCTCTAGTGGGTAGTTCTTAATTAATTACTCCCTCCATCTTAAATTATAAGATATTTTTAAAAAAAATTCAACATCCTAAAATATAAGATACTATGATAAAAATAAAGTTTCATTAATTATACTTTTTTAATATTATCCTTCCTATATATTCTCTCTCTTCATTATTCTTTTATCAACGGAGTATTAAATGAAGAGTATTTTTAAAATTTTATATTTTTATCTTGAAAAGATAAGGTTATAAAATATATTTAATAAACTATAATGATATAGGAGATTTCTCTAGAAATGTTTGTAATTTGAGATGTAGGGAGCACTTGATAGAGTATTAATTAATTTTTTTAAATACTAGTATTGTTTCTATTTAAAAAGTCATTAACTACAAGGGGAGAGAATGTAATATTAATTTAAATTTTTTATTTAAATATGGATAAAATAAAAAAAATTATTCTATTTTCAATTCAGACATAGTTACTGACTCAATCATCCCCACCCCATTTAATTTCGGTGGAATGGTTAGATAGGTGCCTTATGATAAATATTAGAAGTAGTATATTATAAGTCTTTTGAAAAGTTCCAAAAAATTCAATATTCGTCCTTTGTTACTATCATTTTAATCCAATATTTCAACTCATTTATTTAGTACAATTAAGTACTATTCTCAATTTCTCATATTACATCTATTTCAAAGGAATTAGGTGAAGGAAAAATTTGATGAACTATATTTCCCCATTCAAAAATATAAGACATTTTTAATTAAATTTTACCCTTCAATAAATAAATTACTTGCTTTCAAACTAACCTTATTTTTTTATATTTACCCTTATTAAACACTCTACAATAAATATAAAGTCAACAATAGGAGCACTTTAAAAAAAAGTAATGATTACATCTCAAAAAATTAAAAATATCTTATATTTTTAAATATCCAACTTTTAAAAAAGTACTTTATATATTTAAACGGAGAGAGTATCATATGTTACATATCTATTACATTTCTTAATTTGTGTGTAACATATAAAGATTGTGTAGTTTAAAGTTTAAACATTTCTCGAAGAAAATCTTACCTTACTTGGAACCAAGTATCTGAAGGAGGGTAGAGCTGTCATAATCTTACAGTCCAGTGGCATGTAAAGTCTCCTCCTGTAGTTAGAAAGTCATATGTTCAATCTCGTTTATAATTTCATGTTATTAGTACTTGTTTTTCTTAATTTGATCAAAAAAGAAAGAGGGAAAATGTGTATCTTTTTTTGAAAATAATAAATAAAATAGAGATATAATTAAAAAAATTATAAAAACTATCTAATATATTATATTTTGGATGAAATTGGGCTTTTAATATATGCCCCATATTATGATGAGGAGGGAGTGCCAACAAAATTAATCTAATTGATAAAGATTTAGCTCATAACTCACAAGATTGTAAGATCAAATTTCACCATCAATAAGAGGATCACCTTGTTAGCAAATTAATTAACAAATTATAAGTACCTTTATAAATGCTCTTAATTTGAAAGTATACCTTAATCTTGTTGACTTTGTGTAACTCACCTAAATTTTTTATACCAAAAATAACGGAAAGAATTTGTAATTTCTAAATAATTATAAAATATTGATTCAACATGTATGTTTGGATATTAACATACATTGAATTGATACTCCAAACAGTCCTGTATCACAAACTAACTTACAGGGATTTAATCATGTTGAACAAAGGACAGGGATAAAAGAAATGAACTTAACTATCCAGTTGGTCGTGGAGGGAATATTTTAAAAAATATTAATAACCTTATTATGTAAAAAGTATAAATGTTGCATCAAAGAGTACCTTATAGTTTTTTATTAAGAAATTATATTTTCCATTAAAAGTTATAAAATTTATTATCTTACTACATAAATCATTTTATATCAACTTGTAAATAATTACAGAAAACTAAATGATCATTAAATCATACTCATAATTTAAAAACACATAAAAATAAATTAATTTACCAAAGAATACAAAATATTAAATAAATAATATTACAAAAAATACATGACAAAAAATTTACAGGAATATAAAAACAAAATTATTTAAAAAACAAAGTCATACCATCACCCATCTCTCATTATTAATTTTTATTAAAAAAGAAAGAAAGATATGACGCAAGTCTCAAGTGCCTCTCCCACCTCTAAAGTTCCTAAATTCTAATAATCTCTCCCATCTCACTTATCACGCCGCCCTTCTCCGACCTGTTTCGGCGTTCTTCTTTAAACATCGTGAAAACTAATGGTCTCCCATTCCGAGCATGAAAACTTGATGTGGAGCCCACTATTCAAATTTAAAACTTTTGAAAGAATTCCTCTAAATTAAAGCTTCGTCTGTCATCTCCCATGTTCTTTGTCATTGTTTCGTCAATTTGTTTCATCTGATGCCATTTCCCCACCAAACATGTGTGGTGTGGTTATCGGAATATTTATAAAATATTTATATATTATGAATTTGAATTAATTAGTTATTAAATTTTAAACAGATCATTAATTTTTATAATTTTATATGAACTGTGATAGATGAGTTATATAAGTGAGTCCCTTTGGATGAAAGCCCAATATATAATCCTTTAGTCATTAGTTATTTTTCTTATCTGTTAGTTGATTTGGGCAGAAAATTTGTGAGTTAAATTTAATTAATTAATTAAACACATATATAAGCATAATGCATAGATAACCCTAATTGTATTTCACAAGATTAATGTCCCATCATATTCATGCTCTCTCATATTGCTCTATCATTTTCAAGGCTAAGAAGGATGTAATCAATGATTAAAAAACTAGATTGAATAATGAACCAAAAATATCAGTGTGTCAAGGATCTTATAATTTAACTTGTTAGACTGATGGTTGAATTGATAACTTAATAATTAAATAAAAATAATATTTATGTACATATATATTAAAAATGGGTCAAAGCGATTCAATTGCTCTATTTCAAAATAAGCCAACCCAAGTCAATTGCTAAAAACAAGTCAAATAGTTGAACTATATTATTTTTT